GGCCGCTTGGATCGAGAGTGTCGCGGGCCTTTTATGTTGGTTTTCAAGCGTGAAAATGGGCTTCCCTGCTCTGGGCTAGCAGTGCCTGGGATCCTCCCCAGGTCAGAGGAACCCCAGGGTGGCTGCAACCTTCACCCCATCCTCCAGAGCCCATAGGGGACATTGCAGGCCAGGTACCGACATCTTCTCCCCTCGCTTGGGCTGCCAGCAGTTTGCCCAGGGCTGCCCTGTGCCGGCAGGGAAAGCCAGAGGAGAGAGGATGGGAATGGAGCCCGGGCAACATGGCCGAGCTCCCGATGCAGATGGTCCTCACTGGGGGTGGACGGCTGCAACCAATTTTCCATGTTTCTGACTCACCCTGCTTAGAAATTTGTCTCTGCTCAGGAAGCAGCGCCATCAAGGGCAGAAGCTTTTGCAAACTCGCTGACAGGGATGAGGGGGTGTCCCTGGCCCTGGGGAAGGATGAGGCTGGGGCTCAGGCAGTCAACTGTGTTGCCCCAGTATCACCAGTCCCCTCGGGGTGGTGAGGGTTGAGATACAACCAACCTGGCTGTGGAGCAGGTCCAGGCAGGCTGCAGGAGCCGGGCTGGTCCCTCACTGCCATATGCCAAGGCCAGGAGCCACACAGCCCCTCTCCGGAGCAGGGGGGGACGGAGTTTCTGGTCCAGCAAAGCTTGTGCTTGGGAAGAGCTGGAATAAGTGACCCCAGCGTGGGGGGGGGTTTAGCAGGCAGAACTGTTTCTCTAGCAGGGCTGGGCCCGGGGGTGTGCAATAGATAACTCACTGCCACGACCAGGTTTGAGGGGAGACCAAGGTGGATGGGTTGCCTGCTCCAGCCAGGAATGCTGCCAGTGCTTGTCTGGGTGAGACGTGCTACTGCTCTCAGCCAGGGGCCAGTAGGAAATCCCTGTTGGACGTCTCCCGACCTCCACTGAATCAGAATAACCGTTCCTCTGGAAAACCTAAATTTATCCCTGAAGCGGTGACGGCATAATTCACATATGCCCTATTCCCCTCTCGTTGGAGTCTCCCTTCTGTTTGCCATTTTCAACAATAAAGCAACACTGTGAGCAACCTTCCTGTAAGTCGGCATCTCTCCCGTCCCTCCTGGTGACGTGAGCCCAGGGCTGAGCAGCTGCAGGAATTCATGTGAGTTCAGGCCGGGCTGAACTTTTGCACAGTGACCCGCCAGGTCAGCGTGGGAAGGAGTGAGATGGAGAAAGGCAGAGAACAAAGACACCCATCGCAGCCCGCCCGCTTGCAGACTGCTGTGCACAGGACGGCAGGACGGGGACGGCAACGGGGATGGCGATGGAGATGGGGATGTGCCACCAGGCGTGTGGGGATTGTTTGGAGGAGCTACCTGTGGTGCGTGCTGGGGATACTGCCTTTCCCGGCTGGCTGGACTGGGAGGATTGCATGGAAGAGGGGATGGGGATGGGAATGGGTGTTGTGATTGGGATAAGGATAAGGACTGGGGTGGGAGTGATGCCTGTTCCCACAGAGAGACCTCCACAAAAAATAACTGCCCCTGGAGTCTGCTGTTCCCTCACCAGGGCATGACCCCAGCCGGTGGGACCTCGATGAAGCACGCAGAGATCCAGGGGCAGCCCCGAGGGCCACCGTGCCCTCCTGCTCCCTGGGCTGCTCCGGTGTCCCAAAGGCTGCAGGGTCTGCTGGGCTGGGGCAGGGTCCTTGTGGGGTCCCTCCTGAGGGTGCAAGCTGCTGCGCAGGGTAAAAGGTCCTTCATCCCCCCGGAGAAAACCTCGGCCCTTCCCCAGCCGCAAACCGAGCCAGGCAGTCAGGACCCCACAGGGATTTCGGCCACAGCCTTCCACGCGGGGCAGACCAGGGCTTCCTCATGGCGTGGAGAAATGCCTTGAGAGATCAATCCCTGCTGGCCAGGCCATTTTAAGCTCTATTTAAACTCGGGTCTGCAGAGAGCACCTTCCCATTGACCTGTGGTCATTCACAGCCCAGGGTAGCTCAGGGCCTCAGGGGACTTTTCATTTGTGTATGTTAAAAATTCATATTTCTCGGGGCAAATTGGAGATGTCCCAATAGGAAAACACAGCCAAAGGAAAATGCATAAATCATGTGGCTTCTCAACAGGCCTTGGCTTCTTACATTACCTCTCTCCTGCCTCAGCACAAACACTGCAAATGCAGAAAATAACCAGTGGGAACACGTCTGCTTCGGCACCCGGCATAACCCCATCATTTCCCAGGACAAGCTCCAGTGTTGGGTAACGGCAGGGCAGGGAGCGGAGCTGCACACAGGATTCATTTTGCCTGACGTCGTTAATCCAGAGCAATAGTCAACACATGAAATTTTGATTCCCTGTTTGTCCCAGTGACTTGGGGGTTTGGTGTTTCCCAGGCCAGAGGGCTCTCAGGATGCTGGGTGCTCCAACCCCGGGCTCCGTGGGCATGACTCCTGCCAGCTCTCTCTCTCCTGGGATGCCAAAAACCTGCAGGACCAAAATGAAAAGAATTTTCATGGGTTTTTTGGGGGGACGACCCCATCTGGGAATTTTTGGCAGAGCTGTGGCTTCCCCTCCAGCATTCAGGAGGGGTGGTGGGGGTGGCAGCAGATCTGTCCCTTGGCAGGGGGGGCAGATATACAACATCTGGCATGACCAAGGTGCCACACAGGGACCCCAGGCCCCACAGAGAAATCCAATGCTCTCGTCCTGCTGGGGGGGGGGGGCGGTGACCCCTCCCCATCACCACCAGCCCCCCCAACGTGGCCCCAGCTCCTCTCCAGCAACCGCAACAGGACGAGCAGAGAGGGGGTCCCCAAACCTCAAAGGTTTGGAAAAAGCAACGACCGCAATTCTTTTCCTTTTTCCTCATTTGAAAAATTCCTTCCGACCTTGAAATAAATGAGAAGGCGCCTGCTGGAGGAGGGGGCTGGGAGCTCTCTCGACTCTGTGCCTGCTGAAATTTCCCAAATTCCTCCTTCCCCAGTTCCTACCTCTGTGACTCCTCCCTGTGCTGTCGCTGCTGGGTGCTTGCCCTGAGGCCTCTCACTCACCCTTTCCGAGCAGCAGCTGGGAAATGCTTGGAGACGGCTCAGGGCCAGAAGAACAAGAAACGGGTGGCTGGTATTTATTTCTGCAGGAGCCTCCTACGCCTTTGTACATAAACACACCTACACCAAAGAGATGCTTCACCCCCAACAACAGGGAATTTATCCCCGCAAAGGAAAAAGATGGGAAACCCTGAATATTAGTTGCCTACTTGGGCACAGGAAAAGAAGTTTGGCTGATGGAAGTATCGGGTGCACGTCATTGCTTTGGCAAGGCTGAGTGCCATGGGAGAGCTCTGCAAAACCGCAGTTTAATAGAGTGGCAGATCTCAAGTGCAGACCCTTGGCAAAAAAATCCTCAGGGAAGAGCTGTGCAGGGCAGGAAAGCCGCTCCCGACGGCCACTGCCCTTGGGAAGCTCCCGTGCCACCACCCTGCCTGCACCCCCAGGTAACATGGGGACTCCTGGAAGGGTAAATCCTAATGCCAGGCGTTTTCGGACAAGATGAAAAGGCTTCTTCCCCAGGACGGGTGGGCCATGCCGGAGCCACAGGGCTGGGAGTGGCAGCGGTGAGATGGAGGCAGAACTGCTGTGGGCTTCTGTGGGGCTGAGCAAGCTCGGCACAAGCCCCCGCTGCAGCCCTGCTCCCACAGGGGCTCGCCATCAGCGAGACGTGTGGTCAGGGCCCAGCAAGTGGTGGGAAGCGGGGATTTAGCCCCTAAAGATGGTGCGGATGGGAACACAGGTCCCTGCTCTAGGATGCGCTTTGTAGAGGAGGGAGTGAGCGCTGGGGCGGCAGGAGGAAACACCCGGAGGGGAGGGAGCAGAAGGACTCCATCTGCTCTTATGTGAAAAGAGCCGAGGGTGGCTCCATCACGGTGTGTGAATTCCTTCCTGGGGAGAAAAAACAGAGACCGAAAATCCCTTTAGGCCAGCAGAAAAAGGCAGGACAAGAGGGAAGAGCAGGTAACCAGAGTCCAAGACGCTTGCAAATGAAAGAAGATGCACGTTTTCACAGGGGGATGATTGAAGCCTTAGAGAGGGGAGGAATTAATCCTTGGCACTCTCAGAGACAGGGAGCATTTAGAGGAGTGAACGTCCTGCTCCCCCCAGGTGCACAGAGGAGCTGACCCCAAGCATGCACCCTCCCCAGGGCTGGCAGCACCCTGCAGGGCATCACCCGGGAGCCCTGCACCTGCAGCATCCATCCTTGCCCAGGGCCACCCAGCAGAGTCCTGCTCCCACCTCAGGCACCCACTCCAGGGCCCCCAGCACCCATTAGGGCACGGCCTGGGAGCCCTGTGCCCGCAGCATATGCCCACCCCAAGGCCAACAGCTCCCGGTGGGGTATGGCCTGGGGAGAGGAGAGGGGTGCAGGCACACGGTGGGGCAGCACCCATGGCTGGGGGCTCCACGGGGCGGGGGAGAGGGCAAGCGGCAGGGCTTGGCTGGGATGAGGGTCCCCGGTGCAGGGTGAGGGGCAGGGTGGTCAGCGGGGACGGGGACGGGGATGGAAACGGGGATGGGGATGGGGATGGGGACGGGGACGGGGATGGGGATGGGGATGGGGACGGGGACAGGGATGGGGACAGGGATGGGGATGGGGATGGGGATGGACAAGAGAAAATGGCCTCAAGTTGAGGCAAGGGAGATTTAGGTTAGATATCAGGAAAAATTTTTTTACTGAGGGTGTTGTCAAACATTGGAATGGGCTGCCCAGGGAAGTGGTTGAGTCACCATCCCTGGAGATATTCAAAAAGCGAGTGGACAGGGTACTTCAGGACCTGGTTTAGTGGGCATGGTTAATGGTTGGAGTCGGTGATCTTGAAGGTCTTTTCCGACCTAAATGATTCGATGATTCTATGGGGATGGGGACGGGGACGGAACAGGGTGCGAGGACGTGCGCGGGCAGGGCTCAGCGGCGAGGGACCGAGCCTGCCCCGGGTGGGAGCTGCCAGCA